CCCACTAGAAGTAACAAAGACTTTACCGATCCGGTTCCTCAATTTCTCGATTGTTCTGTCTTCTGCTACACCAAAACCCTGAGGCTTTTTGCCATCAGAACCCCTGAGTTTTCTGCCGCTACCCACAAACCTCACATTCATTGCAGATTTACTAACGAAGTCAAATCTTTTAATAGCACAATCATCAATGTACTGCAAAAACCTCACTAAATCTCTGCTTAATGATCTCTTACTATTTCGTATCATTGGATCAATCCTACCCTGATAGATGCAAGTCATGAAAAACGATACTAAATTAAAGACGAAGAAGACTAAAGAAACGTAAGGTAGAGTTCACAAAACAAAGTACCTGAATCGAATCCAGTTGCAGAAGCAAGTCTGTAGCTTTACGAGAAACAGCTTTGAAAGGGAAATGGGGTTTCCCCAAAACCGAAGATTTGAGAGACAAGAAGCTAGATTTGATCGTTGCGAGTTCCTTGAGATGCCTAAAGGATATGGATCTCCGAACAAGGTAAGATCGGAAATGGGTTTGAATGACACGCGCCGCGGAATCTCTCAGTGTAGAGTGCCGATCGCGACGTTGGACATAGCAAGCTGAAAACTGGTTGAGGGAAGACTCGAGGTCATCGATTTTCCGGAGAAGACAAGACAGGACAATGTGGTCGCATTCTCGTGGAGCATTCTTCTGCTGATGCAAAACACGGTGTTGGTGGCTTCTAATACCGTTGAATCTCAGACACTGAGTTTCGCAGGAGCAGGTCTGATCAGGACATTGCCTCTCTTGTTGTTGATTTTGGAGGTAAGAAGCGACGAGATGAAGAAGATTATCCGGTGGCGGAGAAGGGTGGTTGGATTGGGTGCAGCAGGGACAAGAATCGCAGCAGCATGATGACGTGGCGATTAGAGGGACGTAATCCTGGTGGTTATGGCGACGTGAGCAGCCGTGGTGGCGGCGCGATGCCATGGAATCTACGGCGGAGTCTAGATTGATGAAGGCTATTAAAAAAGGTGGCTTTGACCATATCAGTCCCGTGAGTGAAAAGAACTTTTGAGGAGAAGAAACGTCACGGAGTCCTTGTCATTTAGTACAATCCGGCACGCATTCCACCTTTTTGACCGGTCGAACCAAACCGGATGGCTTTTCAAACGAGATTAGACGTTACTTTTTTTTTTTTGGATAAACCAGAGTCACCCTTTAGATATTCCGATTTAAAGAATAACCCTCCATACCAAAGAGGATTTGAACCCGGGCTAGGCCACCACAACCTTTAGATCGTTTGGCAATATCATATGCCGTTGCAAGAGAATTATAAA